GCTTGATTCCATCCAGTGTTCAGGACCTACATAACAAGTCATGACAGTTGATACTCCAACCAGCCACGACAGTTGCATCCCTAACCTTGTCTTCCTTGTGATATGCAACTATATGTTTCCAGATAGGGCTGACAGTAGTCAAGCTTGCGCTAGACACTAAGTACCACAGCCCATGTTCTCATGAAAACCTGCACAGTAACCTGAACTTAACACCATTAGGCAAAATGCAACATCCCATAACAACAAAGCTCAATTGGACCATTGAGCCCCCTCAAAAAATAATGTGGTTATAGTTCTGATGTTATACTAGGTATACATGTTATCAGAACAAATTTTTTATTTCAGTATTTCCAAAACTAATCACTGTAAAATTTTATGTGCTAAAATTAGGCACCAAGTACTCAAGCTAGATTTCCGCGCTTGAACTACTTTAGCCGCAACTTAAGTATAATCAAGTACACAGAGCTTGTCAAGTTGAGGACCATGCCACATATTGGTTGCAGTTGTAATTCATTTTTAAGTCATGGTGGAGCATGCTTTATTTCTAGTATGCATATATAGTGAGATGAGCTATTAACTATTACCAGTCAGAAAGATTTGAACTTCTCCAATGGGAAATGAATGTCCATCCCTCAAAATAGAACAATAAGGGAAAAAATGTATAGATTATGACTCTTCCGTTACTGCAAAGAGCAATTTTAGAAGAACTAATGGCTACGTATTTCCTTTTTTGCCAATTTTTGAGGGCATTCTGAAGTTCAATGGCTAGCATCTATATCCTTGTGATCATCTCAGCAAGAGTTACATCTTCATTTGCAATAATCGAAAAAAATCAAGTCAATATCCTCTTTAGAACACCCAGTTTCAGACTTTTGGATCCATAACATCATCATTGAGAAGAATTGCTACCAGAATCTAAACTATGTCTGACACAAAGCTCTACACCTTACGACAAATAGATATCACTATTCTAACTTGCAATCATAGAACATACTTCTAAATAATAAAATTATCTTGCTTCTCATTGGTAGGCAAACCTAAAAATCCCAATTATGTCTGAACGGGTATACTGATCATGAGATAATTCAATCAGAATACTAGACTGGATGCTCGTAATCAAACTGAAGTTACCTCCTTTAAGAAAATCAATACCTTTCAAACCTATTACGCACATTCTACATCTTCTCAAAATCTATTGAACTTGTAGAAAACCCTGAAGGGTTGTCCAAAAAGATTCAAGGGACAAAACTTACTGTAGACTTTAAAGCAATTTCCAATGCATCTAAACAGTGTACCTACTAGAAGGATTATTCTGTTTTCTCAATTACAGATCTAAACCAGAAAAAATTTCAACTGTAGTTCTGAAACATTTGTTGGATTTTCAGGGATGAGAAGAAGCCTTGTTGCGACTTCATAGTGCTACACAAGTTTCACCAAGTCTTCTTTTAAAACGTGGATCTCAAGATGGTCATACTTTGAATTTCATTTTTACTCGACTAGATTGTAGCTTGAAAAGTAATTAGGGCAGAAGAGAAAAGAAACAGGAACTGCAATCTACACTAAGTTTAGACCACTATCAATACTTTCAAAGCTTATTACAACTAAAAGTGAACTGAATAAAAAAATGATCGAGATTACCACAAGAACCTCAACCATAGATAGAGACAAAAGATGGTATAGAAACGTCCTCTTGAACTTTGAAATAGTTATGACAAAAGATCAGCCACGAAGTCTACACAGTTAGCTTTCCTTGTTTATCTCTATTGGTGTATTATTCTTTCTGTATTCTCACAATCGTGAGTTTCATTTTTCTTCTGTTAGAGAGCAATTTTCAGATTTAAAGATAGGTCTTATCTTGGGTTATGCCACACTGTATAATTGTTTTCATGCATCATGAATAGTTGCATCAAATCAAATTTTTCTGCAGTTGGACAAAACTAGCTAACAGATCCATTTGGAATTTATGTCTTCCCATAAAGCATGCAATACTTTCACATTCTGTTTTTTAGTGTTTTGGTCCAAATTAGTAGTATTTTAGTGAGCAAACATATCCAATTTCCAACATTTCACCTTCATTTCGATTTCTCTGAAGCAACTAGAACCCTCAGCAGCATTCCTAATGAACATTACAAAGACACTGCAATCATTCCCTTTTTCCATCATTTAATTTAAATACCAGAACATTTGGAATTAATGATCTACACCTAATCAGTTACTATATTTCTTTATAGTTTGACAAAACTGCTGAAAAAAATCAAGTTCATCATGTCTAGTAACTTGCATCTGCACTACAGAAATGTGCCATGGACTTATTATTCAAGGCTATGAGAATGAAACAGAGAAAATGACTGAAACAGAAGTATAATTTGCAAAGCACTGGGACAAGTACAATGAAACAAAACTTCTCATCCCAGTGTCCTAAGAACTACATACTTTGTTTCCAACACCAGGTGAAGCTCTACAGAAACAGAATTGTATGGCACATATAACCCTTTGCCACAAGTAAACCAACAAAAGGAAAAAATCAAATAAAAATAAATAAAGCAAGTTACAGACAATGGGAAACTTTTGTCCAATGATCGACTTTACAAAGACATCAAACCATTTTCCATAGGAAAAAAAATTATTACCCTTCAGAAAATAGGACCCATGCGTTCCTCACATCCGGTTACATATTAAATGCTGCGGGCCCCATCCTAAGGCACTAGAACTTATCACATCCTCATTAATACAACTAATTATGTTCACATCATAGTTCACATTAATGGAATTAATTATCAATCAGAATAAAGTTCATCAAATTAGTTGAAGCAACTCCATAGCCCTATTTGTAAGTAACGTACTTTTAACCTAAAGAATGGTAAAATGTACAAGTCATAAAGCACAAAGTCCAACACTCAGCAACTTGATTTTTAAATGAATCCCCTAATTTGTTATGTTTAGGTATTCCGAAACTCATTAGCTCCAAAAATACTTGAATAATTTCCATACAGAATAGTACAATGTACAACTTATACAGCATCATGTACAACATCACCAGCTGTTAATCCCCAAAAAAAATGCATAATAAATTCCTGAACCAAAAGAAAACAAAAATAACTTAACAATTAACTCACAATATCCTACGGTGGACCGGTTTCAACCCGTCTCGAACATCAGGCAAGGCGCGGCCGAGCAGCACAGACATGGCATAAGCCATATAAGCTTCAGTGGCTTCCTTATGAAGCTCCGAAACTATAATCCTCCCCTCGCCTCCTCCACTACCACCGCCAATTTTATCCCTAGCAGCCAAAACAACACTACCATTATCTCCTCCTCCATCATCCAAAACTGCGTCCTCGGCTTCTCTCCGCTTGGCTTTCACAACCGGTAACTTCTCTATCGGCACCGAGGAGGACAAGAACCGGAGCTCCGAAACCCTAACTTTCCGGAGCCCAGAGAACTGCGCAGTGACGGGGCGCAGGTGCTGTGAGTAGCAGCGGAGTAGGCGAAGTCCCGTTGTCGTGATGTTGAAGGCCATTGGCTGATTAAATAAGGGGCTTTTGGGCGGGGAAATGCAGTAATTTAGGTTCATGCCATGGAAGGTGACAAGGAACCCTCTGTTCGCAGTAGTGTGTGTTGTGCGTGAGAGAGAAAGTGAGAGTGAGAAAAGGAGCAAGAAACTGTATAGTTTAATTTCAACGTGTTCTTGCGCGCCAAGTTCTCCTATCTTTTTTTTTTTTTGCCCCCTTTTTCTCTGTTTTTTTTTAAACTCTGTTTTTTTAATCCCTTTTGGCTAAAATTAGTGAAATGGAGATAATAATACTAATTGCAAGTCAAGATTTTGGCTGTTACAAATGATCACCCACAAAACAGATTAACATAGAATGCAAAAAAAAAAAAAAATTGTACATAAATACTTATAAAAAATTAAGCCACGTACAAACTAAAATGGCATTTGAGCCATATTAATCAACAACCTAACTACTACAAAATATTTGTGGTTGAATTCTTTATAAGAATGATATCTACACATTAACTAAAAACATCTACTAAACTGTTCTCTAGAAAAAGACTAAACAGATTAAAAAATTACAATAATCAATTTAACATTGAGTCGCACTCCTAATCAGACTACATGAATGCCTAACACAACACAACAGATTCCTCCTTCTTAGCTGCTATACCACATGATCCTGCACTTCAACATTCTGAAGCAAAAAATCACAAGGATAATCATAAACAGCATAAGAATAAATAGCCAATATACCCCACAATGTAAATTAGTCTCTCGACTCCATTGCAAAAGATCAGCCCCACAATGTAAGGTATGCATAAGACCATGACAACCATTAAGAACGTCATTTTTAACGATCCAAATTCTATTCCTTCAATAGAAAAATAGACACACAAAGAATTTCAGTTTCATACAAAATCAATACACAAGAAGCACAAAATTTCCTCCATATGTCACAATGTCAAATACCAAAAGCAATTCAACTCAAATATCTGAGGTACAAACTCAAACAAAATTCAAAACTGCATTGAAAATTGGATTCTTATCAACAAGAACTTATTTTATTGAAATCTGGTTTTTTTCTCAAGGACGAAGTTCAAACATACTCAAAACATTGACCGTGATTTTAGAAAAAATTTCATTATTTATAGCCATATGAAAACACAACCATTAACCTTTGACAGTTAACTTTCTTTGAATCTAGGGAAAAAATTGCATTTTTGTTGGCAATATATATATTCTATCAGTTTCCACAAGATCAACCAAATTAAACTAAAATTCATGAGAAAACAGAAGATTTGAGGCTGTCAGCAGGTGCAACTTCACTAGTAATAATCGCAACACACCAAACATCTAAAACAAAGCAAAAAAATAGACATTAGGAATGACTCAGCATGCACCCAACACAAAACTGACTGTAATTTTTCTCTTGCGATCAGTCCATTATATATAAAAAGAACAAAAGTAAGTCAAACTTTTTGGCATTCCATTTGGAATGACTCAACAAGCAACCACAACAAAGAAAACTGACTGTAATTTTAATCTTGCGATTGGTCCATAATATATAAAAAAGAACAAAAGTCATTAACTTTTTGGCATTCCATTCACATTTCATGGTGGAAACTAACCTCAGCAATCATGATTAACTATTCTCTGGCAGTTTGGCAGAGTGATTGCCTGCAAATATACATCATAAGAGTAATGAATATAATGGGGAAAAAATCTGTACACAAATCATAGCATGTACTACAATATTTTCCACTCCCTAATGAGACCAGTAGTTGTATATTGATATAATACTCTCCTATAACAGTTCTATCATGACATTCAAGCTACATTATAGAAGAAAAATAGTAAAAAACAAATAGAACAGGTGATAGAGGGGCTCTAATTACTCAATTGCAAATCTATGTTAATACAGGTACTGCTTTGATATTGACCTAACAGATGATACTAACATGTTCATTGCATCAGTCTTTGGTGACTTATCAGGGATTGCCCAAATTCACTACACTTCAGGCAAGCAAATCCCGTAACATAAAAGGGCTAAACTTCGCTGCAGCACAACCTCTGTTGAGCACAGAAGAATAACCTACATAATCAACAGAAAGATGAGTATAACAATTACTGAACTTTGTGGCACAAAACAATCGTAGAATAAGCCAAAAAATAAACAAAACAAAAGAAATGGCACAAAAATTAGGAAAAGAAAACAAACACAATTAAAGGATGACTAAAACAGGTAGTTCTACATCATTTATACCAATTGTAATCATCATTCATCCCTTGATGTACATACCATAAAGAATTCATTAGCTATGAGCAAAGGATTCATTAGCTCAAATGAATGCTGCATTTTGAGAATGCACAAGAACATACCTTGGATTTGCATATTCTGGTAAGTATTGCAACAGGAAACGAAGAGCAGTATCTCTCTACAGCAACAAAATCATAACATATTTATTAGGCATATTATTTGAAAAGCCAAAAACTCAAGGATGGGAAAAAAAGAAAATGTCTGTTCCTTTTGGTTCCTTTGTTTCGAAAAATTATGGACATAGGGAAAGAAATATCATTATCAGAACAGTGCTTGGCCAAACAAGAGGAGGGTTTCTTTTTTCTAGGTGGAGAAAAACCTATTATGTTTACTTCTGATCTCTTCATTTCTAACTGCTAAAAATACACCGAAACAGAAAATGAGAATACAAAAAATCTGAAATTATCTATATAAAACATCAAGACAAGGGAATAGGATTCAGCTAGACCCAAAAATTATGCAAAAAGTAGCTACCATTTTGACAGTTAGGATCTTGAAGTTTTAGTTCTTCCAGTGCTAATAAAGATGATGGCAAAATTATGGATGAGCTTTAAGGGAAGACTATTAATTTCTTGTGTCAGGCAAAGAGAGAGGCTAACCAAGCAATTGAGTTGCAAAGCTATTCCACATTAAATGGGAAAGCCTAGGAAGAAGAGTTACAGCAACATTTCCTCTTCCCCCACCCGGCAAACTCCCTCAGTCCTGCCCTCTCTAATCTTGCTGTCATGGTGTAGTACTTTTGAAAGTTTATACTTGTAATCATCCTTCTAGGACCACTTATCAATTAAGTATTTTATGTTTATTGAGTGCAATTTTTACTATATGTTTGAAGCAAGATGAAACCCTTGGCAACTCAATTTCAGTTAACATACTGAAGCACATTACATATACTTTTGCATAGTACTATACTGAAGCAATGGGTAAGTTATGATCTAGGCTATCTGATCAATGAGATTATCATAGCCAACAGGTATTATGAAGGAACTTTAGTCAAAGAAAAGAAAATGGATGGTCAGCTTGTTCATTCAGACCCAAACTTTTTCGGATGAAAGAAACAAGAAATGAATAAATGTATAACTATGAGCTGGACCTTACACAAAGGTATAATTAGACTTTCTAACTCTGGGCATCAAAATCAAAGCTTCCTTGCCACCTGAACTCTAGGCAAATCGAGCATTTTAAATCTGCAATATCAAAATTTCAAAAAATCAACTTTCAGTTTATTCACCATTAACAGGAAGAAATACAAAGAGGAAAAAAAACTAATCAAAAAAATGCATAAAAATAGTAACAAAAATCAAAGAACATAAAAATTTAAAAATATATATATAACAAGAAGAAATACAAAAAGGAAAAAACGAAGCACAAAAATACATAAAAATAGTAAGAAGACTCAAAGAACATAAAACTTTTTAAAATTACAAAAAATAAACGATACCTCTAATCCATGGCTGCAGTAACAGTCGTTGATTCTCTGAAACTAAAATTCCTAAAAAACTTAGAGATATATACAGAACACTGTGAAATTATATCGATCTATTGAATGTTAGGCTTTTCGGCAACTGCAAGCAAATCTGTGGGCAGATAAAAGAGCCATAGATTTTGCAGTCCCGGAGAGCCCAAAAATTTTCTAAAATTTAAGGGAGAATCAGAGAAACATTAGCTTTGCAGTTGGTCGGAGAATGAGAGAGAAGGGACTGACAACTTCTTTTAGAGGAGAGGGTATAAGTGGGCTTACGAACACACCAAAACCAACTATAGTCAAAGCGACGCCTCTGTGAAGCATTCCATCCAACACCTTACGGGCATCCTGTAAGTGCCCGGTGCAACCCAATGAGTACAAACAAATTCACAATGATGCACAAAGATATATCAAATTTAAGCACAATAAAGAAAACTTAATTAAAGAGAAAGGATAAGAAATGCAAACCAAATATCAAACCAATAGCCTCTTCAATTGATGGCGATGCTAACCAAGATGTACAAGTGAAGGCTCACTCCTTCTTCACCCCAAACACACTTTGGTTGAGCCAAGGAGTTTTACAACTATTCTAGTTAACCCTCAACAACCTACACTTGAAAGATCACTCACCCAATTAAGAACTATTTTATACAAATGAGGCAACCTTCACCAAGGTTTTACCACTTCAAGTGATAGGTTCACCTTCACCAAGGTTTTACTTCTCCTAGAGAGAAACCTTCACTTGAGCAACCTCACAACCCAACTTTCCCAACCCCTTATACAACCAACAAAGAATCTTTCTATTCAAAAATCTCACTTGTAAGCTTGTATTTTGTGTTGGCAAAAGTCATTTGTCTTCTTGTGCTTTGGGGTATTTATAGAAGGTGAGAAATGGCTTCAAAAGGCTCTCTAACGGTCAAATATTAAATGCTGTCAAAACTAGCCGTTGGCCTGTCGGACGTCCGAACCACCTGTCGGACGTCCGAACCCTGCGTCCAAACCACCTGTCGGACGTCCGAACCCTGCGTCCGAACGTCGTCAGAGAGTCATCAAATCTTTGCGAAATTTCTCGGACGTCCGATGCGATCGATGTGCGTCCGATGCGTGCGTCCGATCCTTCCGGACGTCCGATGCTTCCTCACGAGCGTCCGACAGAGTTTCCTTCTTGATGTTCTTCATCCTTTCGGACGTCCGATAGCTTCCTTTCGAACGTCCCACATGAGTGCCCTGTTTTTGCTTCTTCTTTTGTGCCACAAGAATCTGTTCTAACAAATTGCTCACATAAAAACATTAGCCCAAATCTACATTTTAGTTTGTTAATCATCAAAACCAAGGATTGATCGACCAAGGTCAACAATCTCCCCCTTTTTGATGATGACAAACAAAATGAAGATTTCTTTGATCAAATAAGTTCAAATAAAACTCCCCCTTAGAAAATGCCAACATGTTCAAATAAAACTCCCCAAAAATGCCAACATACAAAGAAATTCAATTAATCCTACTCCCCCTTTTGACATCAATCAAAAAGCAAACTCCCCCTTTATTTTCCAAATCAAGACCATAATAGGGTTCTTGGGAGTTAGTACAACATGATCTAGCAATCCACATGGATTTCATACCTTTTCTCATATTTTTCTTTACATAGCAATCATTTTGCATATGTCCAAATTGGCAACAAAAGTGACACATGATAGAAGTATTTTGCACATAGGTGGATTTAATGCAACTAATTTTCTTATTTCTTATCATAGCAAACTTATTTGTGCCTTGAAAAGATTTGCTTTCTTTTGTTTGAGAAAACTTTTGTTTTTCATTTTGGAGAAACTCGTTCAAGTCATTAATTCTTTTCTTTAACAATTTTTGTTCCTCCAACATTTTTTCATAAAACTTTGTTTTCTCTTCCAACTTCCTTTTCAAATTATTTTTGCAATCAAAAACACTTTTTTGATTTTTTAAATCATCATTTTTCATTCTCAAACATTTATTTTCTTGAAAAAGTTTGGAATTTTCTTCCAACAAATCATTTATTTTTGTTTTCAAATCTTTATTTTTAGCATAAGATTTTCTCAAACTTTTATGCATTTTAATCATAAAAATTTTCACATCATCATCTTCATTATCTTCATCACAAGAAGAGTGATAAGAACTTACCTCATCTTCTCCAACGGCCATTAGTGCCATTTGGGCCAACTCTTCTTTTTCTCTTTTTGAATTGCATTCATCCCATGTAATTTTGCAATCTCCTCTTGAGCATCTCTTGTTGAAGATCTTCTTGAAACTTTTGATGTGAGGAGTTATATCATTGTCCACTTCCATGATTTCATTACCCATGAAGGATGGGTTATCCCCCACTTGAGATGCTTTAAAAGCTATGCCTCTCTTATACATTCTTGCATTTTCTTCCTCTTGCACTTTGAATTTCAGCTTTAATTCATAAGAGGTTAGGGTATTCACAAGAGATTCAATGGACATAGAATTTAAATCCTTTGCCTCTTCTATAGCATTTATTTTGTTTTCCCATTCTTTTGGCAAGGCATTCAAAATCTTTCTATTTTTCTCACCCAAAGAATATTCTTTTCCAAGCAATTTAAGATCTTCAATAATGTCACAAAATCTACTACACATTTTATCAACATTTTCAAGAGGATGCATTTTGAAAAATTCATATTGAGAAACAAGCAAAGATTTCTTTTGTTCTTTAAACTCTTGGTTACCTTCATGAAATACACACAATTTATCCCAAATATCTTTAGCAGATTTACAACCTTTAATCCTACTAGATTCATTTACATCTAATGCATTGTACAATATACACATGGCCTTGGCATTCAAAGAAAGGTATCTCTTGTCTTTTTCATTCAATTCTTGTCTAGTCTTTAATCTACTCAAATTGGTGGTAGAGTCAACTATTCTAACTTCATAAGGACCATCTTCTACCACATACCATAATTCAATATAAACGGATTGTAAGAAAATCATCATTCTTTGTTTCCACATGCTAAAATGAGAACCATTAAACATAGGTGGTCTATCAATAGATTGCCCTTCTAAAAAAGAAACTTTTATGGTTGCCATGATCTTTACTCTAAGCGGTTAAGCTTGATCAAAAGAGACCAAACTCTGATACCAATTGTAAGTGCCCGGTGCAACCCAATGAGTACAAACAAATTCACAATGATGCACAAAAATATATCAAATTTAAGCACAATAAAGAAAACTTAATTAAAGAGAAAGGATAAGAAATGCAAACCAAATATCAAACCAATAGCCTCTTCAATTGATGGCGATGCTAACCAAGATGTACAAGTGAAGGCTCACTCCTTCCTCACCCCAAACACACTTTGGTTGAGCCAAGGAGTTTTACAACTATTCTAGTTAACCCTCAACAACCGACACTTGAAAGATCACTCACCCAATTAAGAACTATTTTATACAAATGAGGCAACCTTCACCAAGGTTTTACCACTTCAAGTGATAGGTTCACCTTCACCAAGGTTTTACTTCTCCTAGAGAGAAACCTTCACTTGAGCAACCTCACAACCCAACTTCCCCAACCCCTTATACAACCAACAAAGAATCTTTCTACTCAAAAATCTCACTTGTAAGCTTGTATTTTGTGTTGGCAAAAGTCATTTGTCTTCTTGTGCTTTGGGGTATTTATAGAAGGTGAGAAATGGTTTCAAAAGGCTCTCTAACGGTCAAATATTAAATGCTGTCAAAACTAGCCGTTGACCTGTCGGACGTCCGAACCACCTGTCGGACGTCCGAACCCTGCGTCCAAACCACCTGTCGGACGTCCGAACCCTGCGTCCGAACGTCGTCAGAGAGTCATCAAATCTTTGCGAAATTTCTCGGACGTCCGATGCGATCGATGTGCGTCCGATGCGTGCGTCCGATCCTTCCGGACGTCCGATGCTTCCTCACGAGCGTCCGACAGAGTTTCCTTCTTGATGTTCTTCATCCTTTCGGACGTCCGATAGCGTCCGACATGAGTGCCCTGTTTTTGCTTCTTCTTTTATGTCACAAGAATCTGTTCTAACAAATTACTCACATAAAAACATTAACCCAAATCTACATATTGATTTGTTAATCATCAAAACCAAGGATTGATCGACCAAGGTCAACACATCCTTTAGGTAGCTAATAGAGGATAGGGAGATGATATGGTGGCAGAGGAGGGAACGAAGAGAGTCTGAGGAGATGAAGGGCGAGGGAGTGGAGATCTAGGAAGGAAGGCAGTGAAAGATGCTGATGATGGCGAGGATTTAGCGGAGGGATTGGAAGTCCTAGAATCCCAGGGCTAGTGGGAGATGGGGTGCTTGTGATGTTGGGTGTCAGAAAGAGTGTTGACCTTGGTCGATCAATCCTTGATTTTGATGATTAACAAACCAAAATGTAGATTTGGGCTAATGTTTTTATGTGAGCAATTTGTTAGAACAGATTCTTGTGGCAAAAAAGAAGAAGCAAAAACAGGGCACTCATGTGGGACGTCCGAAAGGATAAAGAACATCAGGAAGGATATTCTGTCGGACGCTCGTGAGGAAGCATCGGACGTCCGGAAGGATCGGACGCACCCCTCGGACGCACATCAATCGCATCGGACGTCCGAGAAATTTCGCAAAGATTTGATGACTCTCTGACGACGTTCGGACGCAGGGTTCGGACGTCCGACAGGTGGTTCGAACGTCCGACAGGCCAACGGCTAGTTTTGACAGCATTTAATATTTGACCGTTGGAGAGCCTTTTGGAGCCATTTCTCACCTTCTATAAACACCCCAAAGCACAAGAAGACACGGGACTTTTGCCAACACAAAATACAAGCTTACAAG